CCATTATTTTCCATTATTTGTAACACTGCTTTTTTAAAAGTGGTATTTCAAAACCGAAGAATGTTTACTAGTATGTATTTATTTATTTATTTAGTATGCATTATAAATACGAGATGAAGATACTCTGGAATAATGTCATCTATGCATGTAAATCATCATGTAGATGTCATCCTGTAGATGTTACACTTCTAATGAGATTCTTTTTAAAAATTCCATCAAATACAAATTTCTACAAAGATGGCAGTTCAACCAACAATTAACAGCACCAAGTAGGCTAAAAACTTTTTGTGGTTTTGTTTGGAGGATGCATTTCCATGCTTATTTATGCAGAGCACACAGTGATCTGCTGAAAGAGCAGTTTGGATGGTGCCTGGAAAAAGCAGCATATTTAAATTGTACTTATGATCCAGGTAATGCATAAAAACATGTCCTTTCCCACAAGCCTCCTCTTGTGTTCTAAAGCAGTACTAGAGTATGAAAGTACTTTTAAAAGGATATTTTGAACACAGAATGTGAACTTTTATAGGAAACAGTGTTTTTGTAATGACTGCCAGTATGTGTCAATCCTAGCATAAGAGAATTTAGCAAAACGGATTTAAGTGGTTTTTAGCTTGCTTAATCCCAACCCCAACTTTTTTTTAAATGAGTAAAATGAAGAAAAGCTCTTATAGTATGTTGTTGCAAAGGGAATTCAGATTTGTATCTCAATGGATAAATATACATGACAATTTTCATAGGAATCAGTGCATGCGTTCTGCCATGGAAGTTTGTCTTCTCCTTTGGCACAAGGCCAAAGATTTCTTTATCACACAATGTTTATGTATGATAGCAACTCCATTGGATTAACTATGGATTTTACTTCATGCTGTGGCAGCAGCAGTTGTCAGTGAAGTTTAAGGTGTATCAGTCTGGCTTTTTGGAAGTGATTATCAATGTCAGTAGTATTCTGAATGTCAAAAATGGAATGTGAAGAAGGGAGTGCCATACTCTTTCCTACATTGAAATGCTTGTCACATTTGACAAAATTTTGTAGTCTCACTTAGAAGGCAGTTTTCACTCCGTTTTTTGTATGCTTCCTGCAAAATTACTACTTCAAATTTGACAGTAACCGATACTCTGAGGAATCTATCAAAACTTCTCTAGCAGTGTTATCATCCATTGAGTAGTCTTCACATGACTACCATCAAGACCACAAAGCCAGTTATGAAGAATGAGAGCATAGGAGTATCAAGGTCCTTAGCTAATGTAGCAGACTATATTTGCTGTAAGATGAATAATGGTTTAAATTCTTCCTCAATTTCTATTTAATTTGATGTATCAAAACTAAAAACTAAAAATGGATCCCAAATTTCTAAGGAATGACAGAGAAACATACTATCCTTAAATCCTGCAGTTATTTAAACAACACAATACTTGGCTGGCAGATGAATTTGTAACAACTATTGTAGACAAAGGGGCTCCTATTACCATTTATCTGCAGAGGTCAAAGTATATGTTTTATTTTAACTGCTGAATAAAACACTGCATTTTACAGACAGATAAAACCTCTGGGGGAAAAGAAGACATTGCAACAGCCAGTACATTTCCCCTTCCTTTCTTTGCTACAGATCTACAGCTCTAGAGATCTGTAAAGGAAATAAGCATCTATGCAGAGCAGTATTTTTATAAGACTAGCGAGAGAGGCAGTAAACGATGAACAAGATCAGGGACACAGAATTTTGGAGTTTAACTCCCAGTTATGTCAGTGATACACAATACAGCCTTGGTTAAGAGTCTTATTTGTTCTGTACCTCAACCATTCCTTCTAAAAACTGTGAAGGTTAAAATCAATAGGAAGGCACTGGAAAATTACAGGAATTAACAAATGTTTATATGGTAGTCTGAAAATACACACAATTTATCCAAATATTTATGCCTACTTTGACCAAGATGCAGCTGTTGGAAATGTGTTTATAATACAACCAATACACCATTTCATTCACATACACCTAATGGGATTTAAAATGGCTCAGAAAGCACTCTGGGCTGAGTGCTTCTTTATATCACAATACATGAACTATTATATGAAGAATTGTTTTAAACATTGACATTGAATTTCCATTTCTCCAGATGGCATTAGATACAGTTAATCCTTCCCCAGCTCGAAGTCCAAGTATTTTTTCTGCTATTGTTGCTTAAGATTTGCTAGAAATGGAGTTAAACCCAGCCAGTGTACAGTCCTAGCTATCAGTTAGCAATGCTTCCTTGATACAGTAGGATATGCTAAGGACAGTCAGTGGAAGTTTGCTCTTCTTTGCTTTGTGTATTTTATTCCAGCTTTTCTATTATTTGGAGACTGTATTTAATACTTTGAAGAGTAAAGACTGACAGACAGCATTTAAATGTGCAAAGCCTATGTGAATGTTTAACAAGGTCATTTTATTTCCACAAGCACAAAATAACAAACAGTTCTACCATGTCAAATTGTGCAGTAATTTTATTTGACAGATTATGGCTTGGATACACAGTAGCATTTATTGGCAATTTTGCCAGTTGGATATGATGGAGAACTGAGCATAGTCAAGAAAAATGGGAACCATTTCTTTTGTGAAATGAAAGGCCCCATTCAAAATGCTTCTTCAAATCAATGGATTTTTATCCACTGCATGTATAATTCAGACACACAGAGGAAAGCAGCCAGTATGTACATGATTGACTTCGTATACAGTTTTGAATGATGACGTCAATACAATCAGCAAAGACAGATACAGAAAAAGAGACATTTTCCTTATTTTTAAATTACTAGCAGAACTCAAGATAAGTAAACTGATTTCATGTTCCATTTTCCAAAACAGCACCCCTTAAAACTCTGCATAATAGAAAGCTTAGATATGAAACAAAAATATATCATTTACTTGGGAATAATAGCTTAATGGCAAAAATTCATCCATGTTGTCTTCATTCCCCTTTTTAAGTGTCTTAGAGCTTAAATAAAAACAATTCCAGTTTTAAAGCTTGCAGTAAATTCTGACTCAATAAGTAAACATTTTTAGGGAATTAATGCAGTCTGTGTCAGAAACTATACTGTAGAAAAATATGCAAAAAACCAACATACAAGACTGTAAAATTTTAGGAAGTGTTAAATAGTACAGAAAATACAGAAAAGAATCTAGTATTCTTTTACTAGAATAAAAGTAAAAGTGTAATATGCCAATTTATTTATTTTTCTTGCCAGTGTAATATGCCAATTACAGCCAGGATGGAAACACAGACACCAATTAAGGCTATAGCTGTTAGCAGCACAATGTTACTTGGGGTCAGATACAGCTTGGCACTCTATGGAAGAAGAAAATCCAAGGAAACATTAATACCCTTCACCAGGAAGCAGAAAACAGATTTAACTTAAAAAGATCATAGAATCATATAATAGTTAGGGTTGGAAAGGACCTTAATATCATCAAGTTCCAACCCCTCTGCTATGGCCAGGGACACCTCGTACTAAACCATGTCACCCAAGGCTCTGTCTGACCTGGCCTTGAACACCACCAGGGATGGAGCATTCACAACTTCCCTGGGCAACCCATTCCCAGTGTGAGACAGACAACAACTTGGGCTACAGGAACTACTGGCTATACTTAAAAGACTGAAGCTTAATGGTTTTTCTTACTTGAAAATATATGGCTTAATATAATTATTTTCAGGTAATGCTATGTCTAAATTCAGTTTAACTTTCCAGGAAACCTATGGATATCCTCAGGGACTGACTTTTTTTTTTTTTCTCATTAGGAGATTTATCTCCTGCCCCTGCCCAGGACAAAGTAAAAGATGCAGCAGAATCTCCCACAAAACTGCCTGGGGCTTGGGGAAAGGGAGCAGCAGGGTGAAGTAAGCCTGTAAGATCTGTTGTTTTCTGCAGGCAAGAAGCTCCTCTTGGACAGGCTATGGAGCTCAGCTGGTTGGGCATTGCTCAGTCTGAGTTTACCAGAGACAATGGCAGTTGTAGGCAAAATAACCAGTTGATTGTGGCAGGAGAATGCTGGAAAGCAAAAAACCTAAGCGCTTGAAGGGCTTCTGGAAGTCATCCCTTGAATGTTTTGGGGTCCTGTGGCTCATCTAACACCCTTTCTGTACTACAGGCTTCCCGTCAAGGGAAAGCTGTCAGCAGGAGGCCATGTATCAGTGTCAAAGAAACTGTACATTTATAAAGGTTTATTATGAAATCTGATTCCTTCTTGGGATTCTCTCCTCTGCTTTTGTAGTGTCCATAAACTTCACAGGAAAGCAAAAATAATTTAAGGATAAAATGACAGGAAATCTTTTGCATAACACATACCCTTAAATACCTCAAGACTATAACTAAATTTTCTTCATCTGGCAGATGCTATTCCTGTCATTCTTAATTAGCAGCTTAAGCAGCATATCACTTCTCAACTGTTATCTGTCCTATAGTAAAATTAACTGCTGAAACAGATGTCAGAATATTTCTGCATGATAAATGCAACTGAACTCGGTAATACATCAAGTGGCAAAAAGTAGCTGGAATATCTGACTAATGGAGAAGACAGAAACATGCTCTCTTTCTGGGACAAACATTTTAATTGCAAAGTGAATTCCGTGTTTAAGCTCTTGTGTAACTGACCCATTCACTTTTTCTTAAAGTATTAATGCCTTTGTCAACAAATACTGTGTTCAGAATAGCTGAACTGAATGTTTTATATGCAACCAGAAAGAAATCGCTTGTTTGGTGAAACAGAAGTGCTTGCTTAGATCATTACCACACTTGCAATTTGTCAAAAGAATGTTGGTAAATTTAGCAAATATTTTACTATTTACAGGAGTTGAGCTGGTAATATTCTGATCTCTCATGGGCACTACCTAAGCAGCTGTGTAAATACCTGAGAAGTATTCTGCCTAGCCTCTGAGGAAACTACATCCACAGAACTGGCCGCCACCACTGTTCTTAAATTTCCTTGCTCTACAAGAGACTGGTTTTAATCCTACTACACATACTGCCTGAAGTAAACTCTGTATTAATGTGATTTTTTTGAAGTGCAAAACAAAATGATGAAGTTACCTTCGAGGAACATTATGAAGATAGGGAATGACTACAAGCTGGGAGTTTGGTATGATAGCTGTCCATTCATGTTTTCTTGCAGACTGAAAGAAAAACAAAGGCTATGTCAATTCATAACGAAACAATATATTTAAAAGCAAAGGAATTCTCTGTTGAAACACGCAAAAGGAGTGTTCTGGCTTTGGCTGGGATTGAGCTAGTTTTGCTCATAGCTGCTGGTATGGACTGTGTTTTGGATTTGTGCTGAAACCGTGCTGACAATCTAGCGGTGGTTTGTTGACCACTGAGCAGTGCTCACAAAGCCATGGCCTTTTCTGCCTCTTACCAGCCAGCGAGGAGGCTGGAGCTGGGGTTACTCAGTCAGGATGGCTGGCCCTCACAGGGATGTTCCACACCATGTGCTGTCATGCTCAGCATATAGAGCTGGAGGAATAAGGAAGGGACTGATCACTGCCTGGGTTGGGCTGGGCATTGGTCAGAGAGTGGTGGGCAACTGTACTGTGCATTACTTGTCTTTCTGAAGTGTTATTCCTGTTATTTCATTACTTTTATTATAATAATATTTTACTTTATTTCAATTATTGGGCTGTTCTTATCTCAACCCATGGGTTTTCCCTTTTCCTGGTTCACCTCCCCATTCCAGCAGTGGGGGGAATGAGCAAGCAGCTGTGTGGTACTTAGTTGTGGGATGGGGTTAAACATGACAAGGAAAACACACACAAAAAACCCCAATCCAGTTTTTTTTTCCATCTTTTTATTTTAAATATAAGTGATTATTCCCTTGTGTTTGTATAAGCCTTTTATTCGGAAAGCTCCAAAGTGCTTAAAAAAACAAAGTAAAATAAAGTACAAAGCAACAACATAATAGCAAAAGACGAAAAGAACCAATTCTAAAAAGGAGGCAGGCAAAGCAATTATCCAAATCAGAATTTGGCCAGGATGCTAATTTGAATGCCTTGCTTTTTAAAGCTGTACCATCAGATCTTTAAAGACTGAAAATTACTAGGACCCTACTTTTATGTTTCATCTGAAGGTTAGATAATCAGAGTAATCTCTATCTCCCACCATATTGATCCTGGTTTTATAACTGAGGTAGAGAGGATTATGTAAGTTTACAGGCTGGCCAGGTCAATCCCAGGCAAGTTTTACAGCTGAGACCACAATAACTGGATCTTCAGATCTAATACACATTTACCAAATAAGCAAGCACTAGATATCTATACTAACATTTACAGACAAATTCAGTTATCTTTTGTTTTAGCTTCAGAACTTACACACTCTACAAGAACCAAGCACACAAGTTTTTTTCTGACTAACATTTTTTCTGTATTCAAACTACTACTTTTGATGTATTGTGTACAGTTCTGGTGTCCTTAGCATAAAAAGAACATGGAACTGTTGGAACAAGTCCAGAGAAGGGCCACAAGGATGATCAGGGGGCTGGAACATCTCCCATACAAAGACCAGCTAAGAAAGTTGGGGCTGTTCAGCCTGGAGAAGAGAAGGCTGCTGGGGACCTGACAGCAGCCTTCCAGTATCTGAAGGGGGCCTATAGGGATGCTGGGGAGGGACTCTTCATCAGGGACTGGAGTGGTAGGACAAGGGGTAACGGGTTCGAACTTAAACAGGGGAAGTTTAGATTAAATATAAGGAAGAAGTTCTTTACTGTGAGAGTGGTGAGGCACTGGAATGGGTTGCGCAAGGAAGTTGTGAATGCTCCATCCCTGGCAGTGTTCAAGGCCAGGTTGGACAGAGCCTTGGGTGACATGGTTTAGAATCATAGAATAGTTAGGGTTGGAAAGGACCTTAAGATCATCCAGTTCCAACCCCCCTGCCATGGGCAGGGACACTTCACACTAAACCACATCCTTGTTGGCCTTGTTTAACGCAAGGTGTCCCTGCCCATAGCAGAGGGGCTGGAACTAGATTATCTTAAGGTCCTTTCCAACTTTAACTATTCTATGATTCTGTGATGGCTTTCTATGATGGGGCTATGGAACTGATGATAGGGGCAGAGCAGTTGACATCATCTGCCTGGACTTCTGTAAAGTGTTTGGCACTGTCCCGCACGACATCCTTGTCGCTAAACTAAAGGGACATTAATTTGATGTGGATAGACCAGACTGTGGATAAAGAATTGGCTGGATGGCTGCACACAAGGAGGTGTGGTCAACAGCTCAGTGTCCACATGGAGACTGGTAACAGGTGGTGTCACTGAGGAGTCGATTTTGGGACCCATTCTGTTCAACATCTTTGTCAGTGACATGGGATTGAGTACACCCTGAGCAAGTTTGCAAACAACACTAAGCTGGAGGGAAGGGATGGGAACAATGGGGACCTTGAGATGTCTGAGAGGTAGCCAGTGCCAAACTCATGAAGTGCAACAAACCCAAGTGCAAGGTACTGCATCTGGGTCAGGGAAATCCCAGGCACAGCTACAGGTTGGGCAGAGAAGAGATTTAGAGCAGCCCCGCGGAGAAGGACTTGGGGTGTTGGTCCACGAGAAACTGAACATGAGACGGCTTCAGTGTGCACTTGCAGCTCAGAAACCAACTGTGTGCTGGGCTGCACGAAAAGAAGCGTGACTAGCAGATTGAAGGAGCTGATCCTGCCCCTCTACTATGCTCTCGTGAGACTCTACTTTGAGTAATGTGTGCAAGTTCTGCTGTCCTCAACATAATGAGGACATGGAGCTGTTAAAGCAAGTCCAGTGGAGGGCCATGATGTCGATAAGGGGGCTGGAGCACCTCACATACAAATACCAGCTAAGAAAGCTGGGGCTGTTCAGCCTGGAGAAAAGAAGATGCATGGAAACCTCATAGCAGCCTTCCAGTATCTGAAGGGGGACTATAAGGATGTTGGGGAGGAACTCTTCATCAGGGACTTTAGTGCTAGGACACGGGGTAATGGGTTCAAACTTAAAACAGGGGAAGTTCAGGTTAGATACAAAGAAGATCTTTACTGTGAGGGTGGTGAGGTGCTGGCACAGGTTGCCCAAAGAAGTGGTAAATACTCCATTGCTGGTAATGTTCAAGGCTAGGTTGGACAGAGCCTTGGGAAGCATGGTCTTGTGAGGTGTTCCTGTCTGTGGCAGAGGGGTTGGAAATAGATGATCGTTAAGGTTCTTTCCAACCCTAACTATTCTATGATTCTATGAATATCCTTGCTTCTGGAAGGAAAATAAAAAAGGAAAACAGAAAAAAAGTCCCTAGCAGTACTTCTATCCAAAGTCTGTCAAGAAAGGTAACACCATATACATTGACAATTGTAGTATTGACAATCATTAAATCTCAACTGACCTTTTCTCCTAAAGGACGAGGAATGCCAACATACAAATGGTCGAGGAAATTAGTACTACGTCCCAAGCCTAGTACGTTGTATGGCAGCTGCAGAGCATAATGTGCTGACTGGCTAAGCTGTCCAGCTGAAATAAAATTAGAAAAGAAGTCCAAATAGGTATTTTGTGGGGAAAAAAAAAGTAACCCTGAAACCATTAACTTTCTGCATGTATACATTCAGAATCAGTCATGAAAAAAATTAAAAAATATTAATCAACTGCATGATTATTTAATTCTTAAAGGTTCAGTCCCACATTTCCAAAACTTCTTGTGCCACTCACTTGGAGAATAGCTTGAATGCTTTAAGTTTCTAGGTAAGATGATTCTTTCAAGCAACATTTCCATGTTAAACTGAATCTAGACTACTGTCCTGGGTTCAGCAGTAGCAGTCATTTTTCTCCTTCTTAGTAGCTGGTGCAGTGCTGTGTTTTTGACTTTCAGGCTCGGAACAACACCGATAACACCAATGGTTTTACTTGTTTCCAAGTAATGTTTACTCTGACCAAGGACTTTCTGAGTCTCATGCTCTGCCAGGGAGGAGGGGAAGCCAGGAAAAAGCAGAGACAGCACACCTGACCCAAACTAACCAAAGAGGTATTCCACACCACAGCACGTCATGCCCAGTATATAAACTGGGGGCAGTTACCCGGAAGGGCCAGATCACTGCTAGGGCCGGGCTGGGTATCGGTCGGCGGGTGGTGAGCAGTTGTATTCTCTTCCCTTGTTATTTGCCTTATCATTATTATTATTGGTGGCAGAAGTAGTGGTTTGTGTTATACCTTAGTTACTGGACTGTTCTTATCCCAACCCATGGGAGTTACATTCTTTTGATTCTCCTCCCCATCCCTCTGGGAGCAGGGAGAGGAAGGAGGAGTGGAGTGAGCGAGCGGCTGCATGGTTCTGAGTTACCAGCTAGGCTTAAACCACAAGGTTCTTTGGGGGGTGTGGCCAAGTGCCTGAATCACGCAGCGATCTAGCCCTTCTGGGTAACTGCCCCCAGTTTATATACCGGGCATGACGTGCTGTGGTAAGGAATACCTCTTTGGCTAGTTTGGGTCAGGTGTGCTGTTTCTGCTTCCTCCCAGCTTCCCCTCCTCCCTGGCAAAGCATGAGATTCAGAAGTCCTTGCTCAGAGTAAACATTACTGAGCAACAACTAAAACCATCGGTGTTATCAGCACTGTTCCCAGGCTGAAAGTGAAAAGCACAGCACTGCACCAGCTACTAAGAAGGAGAAAAATGACAGCTGCTGCTGAACGCAGGACAACTATTTTTTACAGGTTGAGAAGAAATCAGCTATCTGCATTTGTTTTTATTTGAAATAGTGCCAAGTCTTTTGCCCTACTGATTTACAATCTCATACTCAATATGTGAAAGTTCACTTTATTCTTGGTCTTAATCAGTAACTGCTGATTTTTACTGTGTCACAAAATAAGCTTAGTAAATTTGTATGAACCAATTCTTACATAATAAATTGATTAAACGAAAGCAGGATTACAGTGATTGTAAGGTAGGCGCCAGTAAGAGCATGTGATTATAACTAATTAAAATAGAGACTGTAGGGGAAAAGTAACACTCTATGTTTCCTGAAAAGGCAGCAGGGAAACAGATAGCTGGAACAGACAGTGTTGCAGCTATCAACAGGCTTGCTAACATCCCCTTTCCAAGATACCTGATTTGTCCATTTAAACAAAAATTTTTGTAATCTTCTAATTTCTGTAAAACTGATTCAGATCCTATGACGATTCTTTGTTCATTGTCTAAAAAGCTTCTTAGGAAGTGATTCAGATTTTGGAAGCAGGAATAATATCAGCACCTCATAAGCACCACGATGAATTTAGCCCTTCACCAGGTTAACAGAAATGAGTGTGAAGGACACTTGACAAGCAAAAGCAGGTTTATGTGATCAGCAGAAACAGTTTTTCACAGAGACATGATGTAGTCTGTATTTTTAAAGTGTTGAAATTTATCTCTGCTTTGACACCTAACATGCCTCAATTGGAAAGTGTAAGCTAAGTGACAAAACATAATAAAATGTGAATTAAAGAACACAAATTCACAAGCACCTTCTTATGAAGACAGGCTGAGAAAGTTGGGGCTGTTCAACCTGGAGAAGAGAACGCTGCAGGGAGACCTCATAGCAGTCTTCTAGTATCTGAAAGGGGCCTATAAGGATGCTGGAGGGACTCTTTATCAGGGACAGGACAAGGGGTAACGGGTTCAAACTTAAACAGGGGAAGCTTAAATTGGCTATAAGGAGGAAGTTCTTTACTGTGAGCATGGTGAGGCACTTGAGTGGGTTGCCCAAGGAAGCTGTGAATGCTCCATCCCTGGCAGTGTTTTCAAGGCCAGGTTGGACAGAGCCTTGGGTGACATGGTTTAGTGCAAGATGTCCCTGGCCATAGCAGAGGGGTTGGAACTAGATGATCTTAAGGTCCTTTCCAACCCTAACTATTCTATGATTCTGTGAATTTATAATTGATTTACAGACAATTCCTTACTACCTCACCACACTTTCTTCCAAGGCTGAAAGACAAGATCTGAAAAATCAGCCTGATACAGTTACCTTTTTATTAAGCTAAAATGCTTTTAGCAGAAATAAATAGAGTCTTCTGAAAGATTAGGCATATTTTAGATTTACTTTTTCCCCATGCAGAACCATATAAAAAGCAAGAAAATGTGGAACTAATTAAATAGGATTTGTCTTTTCAGTCCTCTGTTGTCAGGTCAAGGTGCACTGCGTATGTTGTTAGGTGAATTCCTAGATTATGGACTCTGTGCCAGAAAGCATTAACTCAGCAGCTTTCTCTCCAAAAAAAAGGTATTTTGTCCAGTAAGCTGAGATAACAGTATAGATCTTGAGTCTGTCCCCACTTTTTGACTTGCCTTTCCTTACATGATTGTGGCTAAACTCCTTAATCTTTAAGTCTCAGTTTCCAGCTCTAATTCGAGAATTACTCAAATTTGAATGCACTGGTTATCAGTATAAAATTAGCAAGGAGCAAAGGTACGTTTATTACATGACTTGGTTATACAACCAAACAAGGTATGTGTTACTTGATCATGCTAGAACATAATAAAGAATTAAAAAAAAATATTCTTTCACTTTTGCTGCATTCTGAAGAACTTCTCCCAAAAGAACAAGGTACTGCTGTAACATTTAACATTGAAAAGCTTTCAGAAGGACTTTTGAGCGAAACATTTAGCATGATGAGAAGACTGCAACTGAGATCTTCCCTTTTCTTTCATCATACAAATGAAATGTATGAATTTCAACTAAATTAAATGAAACAAAAGGAAGTGTAATACACTGTGTGCAATCAGCCTTAAAGAAGTCAGATAGTGCAGCTAGAATTCTTAAAAGCATTGAATAATTTTATGGCTACTCACACTGCTTCTTCTGTTAGTACACAAGTTAGTAGTTATCTACAAAGATAAAGATAATGAAATCATGTGCTTCAGAATGTAAATAGATCATTTGCAAAAGTCAGAGAGAATGTTTTCTGCTACATCACAGGCAGAAAATGTGCACGTATCTTTTTTATTTGCTTTTACAATTGGGAAATGTTAGTTAAGCAGGATGATAGTGTATAGAACACTCTAGTTTACTTTAAGGCTGGCTACAAATATGAGATCTCTGGGACTACTTCTTGCTTTACTCCTTGTACATCAATCATAAATTCTGTCTGAGGGCTACTCAAATGTTCCACTTGGAATTGCAAACAAGTAATTAAGAATGACAAATGTTCACCTGAGAAACATAAAAACCCAGAGCAAACTTAAAAATAAAAGGAGGCATTACAGAGAGTACTGTCAACAGTTGTCATATTTGAAGTTCTCAGTCATGGGTAATTAATTTACTTATGAAACTATTTCAACTTTAACTGAAATAGCAACTTTAGCAATTTGCCCTGTTGTAAAACTATCGTGAAGAGTTTTCTGCTTGATCTAAAAAGATTTGAAAATACCATTCTATCTTCAAGAAGGAAGATGGGGTTTATTTCTTATACTAAGATTGTTCTTTAAGCTTTTGGAAGTCTATGCAAGCAAGATGGAGAAACTGGCTGTTGCTCGTTTGTTTTGCTTCATTAGTAGAACTGGAATTAAAAAGCCTTCTCCTGTCCATGCTATACATACTACCTTTTAACACTACTTTTAAGACTATTTAATGCTATGTCTTCTGTATTACACTTCTTGTTTCAAAAAAAGTTATTGGGAAGCACCCAGGTATCTTGGGCTATGATACTGGGTATAGTACCTGCACTGAGCTCTGCAGGCAGGGAGGGTGCTAAACTTTAACTTGGTACGTGAATGAGAGGGCTGGGGCAGCTCTGCTCTGGAGCCAGGCTGAGAGAGCTGGGCTTGTTCAGCCTGGAGAAGAGAAGGCTCCTTAAGGGGAGACTTCAGAGCAGCTCCAGTGCCTAAAGGGGCTGGAGGAAACCTGGAGAGGGGCTTTGGACAAGGGCCTGGAAGGACAGATGAAAGGGCAAATGGCTTGAACCTGCCCGAGTGGAGACTGAGATGAGCTCTTAGGCAGAAGCTCTTCCCTGTGAGGGTGCTGAGGCGCTGGCACAGGGCGCCCAGAGAAGCTGTGGCTGCCCCATCCCTGGCAGTGCTCAAGGCCAGGCTGGACATGGGGGCTTGGAGCAAGCTGCTCCAGTGGAAGGGGTCCCTGCCTATGGCAGGGGTTGGAACCAGATGAGCTTTAAAGTCCCTTCAACCCAAACCGCTCTTGGATTCTAGGATTAGTTACACACTAATGGTTAACGGTTGGACCAGATGATCCTTGAGGTCCCTTCCAACCTGGTGTTCTATGTTACTTGTTTACGGTATAGGTTTCATTTTTATTTTTGCTTTAAATTGTTAAGTCACTAAGTTTACTGCTTCAAAAACCTTAGGCAGAATAAAGAACCTCAACAGTTTAAGACATGGTTTTCAGTGGTTTCACCCTTTCAGAGACCAAATTTTTGAGAAATAGCCCATACACTGGGCAGCCAAACCTCACAGAATTTTGCAGAGTTTGATATTCAGGACTCATTCTGAACGCCTCTGAATCAATCATCTCCTTACTTTTGAAGTCTGGCATA